CGTCCATTTTGCAGCACATTTGTCTTATAGACGTTTGTATCCGTAGGTCTATGAGACGCTCCAAGACAGATTTCTCCCACAATCACCCAACCTAAATCTAGTCGTTGGGCGTAAGGATCCTTTGATGGACCATTGATCTGTTCACGGGCTTTGTGAACACTGAGGACGTCCCTGCCTAAGAGAAGAAGAATGGGTGCTGAAGGATCGACGGGTGGGATTTTATCGACAATAGGATTCAGATGCGGAAAATAGTGGGCTATCTCTGGCGATGGAATCTCTGACCGATCATCTGGGATCATGTCACACTCAATGAGTGTAGGGAGGTTAACTTCATTTAGGCCGTCTAACGACTGGGCTATGAAATTGTATGCTCTCCGACCTGTAGTTTCTATTTTTCCAGAGCATGTCTTCAGTGTGTAGGAATAAAAATTCCCATTTATGGAGAACAGATCAAAGAAATCAGATTTAGCCAGAGAACGATTGCTCTGATCGTCTAATACTGCATATAAGCGTTGTAACTTGTGGGGCTGACCTGATGGATATACATTAATCAAGCATATTTTGGAGCATGACCTTAGGGGTCTATCTTTGCCACAAAGTTCTGTGCACTTTGAGCTAACCGTGGTTGTTGTGTTTTCTTCTTGCTCCCCGCCATGCTCTTTTAGGTCTTTGGAACGTTCTGTTTCCAAAGTAGAAACTGGATGTAGAGCTGTTGTATGACACTCACTAGCACATTCATCACATTTAATATGACCTTTGCACTCCCTAGCAAGATGATCCATTGACGCACAGCATCTGAAACATATTCCTTTTTCTTTAAGGAATGATTTTCTCTCATCATAATGTTTTTTCCTAAAAGTACGACACTTCGCCAGTGGATGCGGTTTTTTATGGATTGGACAAAAAGATCCCAGATCTTCAGCTTTCTTTAGTTTCATAATAGGGGAGAAAGAGACTGAGGAAGTAGGAGACACGTTTGTTTTTCTTACAGAAACTTGTCTGTGTGGCCTTTCTGTTTTCAATGCACTTGACTGCCAATTTGCAGAAAAACAGAAACTTGGGTCATTTCGTATTTTCGCTTGACTAAGGATGAATTTGACAAAAAAGCCAAATGGAGGGAAAGACACATGATTTTCTTCTTTGAATCTGGCCCCTTGTGTGATCCATCTTTCTTGTAAGCTATACGGTAATTTTTCCACTATTGGGTTAACTCCCCTTGCCGTGTCGAGGTAAAAAAGACCTGGGAGGAAACCTTCGGTTTTGGCTGCCTCAATCTCCAATAATATGTCGCCTAGTTCCCTTAACTTGTGGTTTTCTTTATTAGAAATCCTGGGGAAGGTCTCAAGTTTTCTCAACAAAGCATGCTCAATCATTTCAGGACACCCATAACATTCGTCCAATCTCTGCCATAAAGCAACGACACCTGCTGCAGGGTAACTGACATGAACTGACCTTAACCTTTTAGCTTGGAGAGAGGATTCTGGACCCAGCCACTTGATAAGGAGGTCGATCTCTTCCCTCGCTGTAAGCTCCAGGTCTTTTACCGCCCCTCGAAACGATGACTTCCAGGCCCAGTAAGTCTCAGGACGGTCATCAAATTTCTGAAGACCAGAGGTGACCATCTCTCTACGTGCCAGATACCTGACTAGTTCAGTAGGAGTTGGCGTTTCGAATGGGAAATTATTAGCTAAAATAGGTTGTGAGCAAGCACTAAAACTGGGTTGTTGATCTGCTTTATTGGGGACATACGGGACATTTGGTATGTGAAGTTGGTTCAGACTAGCATCTACATTGTCAGCAGGAGGGCCCCGCTGAATACAAGGTCGGGGTGGAGGGACATTTTTCGGTGAAGACCATGTGGGCACTGTACCATCCTGCATGTGAGAGTGTCCATGAGCGTCTTCAGTGCTGTCTGAGGTCAGGTTTTGCATGTTCACATACTCAGTAGTTCGTTGAACTGGATCATGGCCAGCAACATCTTTTAACTCCTGTAATGGACCCTCTTCCAGTTCGGCTGCCGCTTCATATACCGCAGCCTCTGCGTCTGCTACGTCAGCTGCTTTTTTAAGGTGTAATAAGTATAACTGAGCGTCTACTTGGGCTTTTTGATTAGCAGCTTCCGCTTCAATGCGAGCTTTCTCTAACATAATATGCGCCTCCTTTTCAGCATAGGGAATTTCTGCACGAGCCGCTTCTGCTCTGGCTCTAGCTCTGGCTGCAGCAACGCCGACCGACAATCTGCTGGACCGTGCGGCGGACCTCCAGGACGTCTGCGATCTCGTCTCAAAGGTTCGGGTGAATTCCGCATTTCCACTTTGGTCCATTATTGGTTGGCTTTTCGCCATTTGTCGCTGCGTTGTTCAATCCGTGTTACTGCTTTCAACGTCTAGGTCGCCCGGCGAATGTCTTTTTACTGTTCTGTCCTCGCACTTGCATTACAGCTTACAAGGTTAGACAGACAGCTAACAGAACAAGAAAAACGAAAGAAGCCGTTTCTTCATTTACGGTGGTTTACTTTTACCTTTTGAGACAGCCCGTCTTAGCACATATGCAGTTGTTTCCCTCGTGTTTTGTAAAACTGAAAATAATATAACGAAATACTCTAAGAACACATTCGCATACACATTCGCATATCTTAGCTAGAAAAACTCAGAAATGTTAGCTAAACACAAATTACAGCTCTAAATACGAACTAATACCTATAAATACCGATTTAAGCAAAATATGCAAAAATAACAGTTATGAGCTTTATCAAAATGAATTAAGTTAGAACTTACAGACATATGGTTCCCCAAACTTCCCAAACGCTGAGAAAACATGACCAGCAGTAGACACGGAGCTTCCAAGTCTGAGAACAGAGAAAGAACTACTTCCCATTCGTAAACACAATGTCCACAAGGTGGCAGTAAGTAACCTTACAACACAGCTGCACAAAAACCAGTACTTCTATGCAGGAACTTCTATGCAAGAAAACTATACAGATTCAATAATAACACATACCTAACTCGATTTCGCACCGCGTAAAACAAGCAGATATAAATTAACATACCTTTGATCGTATAACTTGGGGATACACGGCGCAGTTCGCTCATATCCCTAGGTGAGAGCTCACCGACTACTTCTCTACTTACATGAGTTCCTGACCTATACTATTCTTTTGATGCTTTTTTTTTTTGACAACTGCTTTGTTCTTGGCCATTTATTCTTGTGTACTGCGATTTGTTGTATTGTAAATGCACTATATTGTTATCTTGTTTGAGAAGTTAAACAATAAAAAAAAAAAAAAACTTCTCTACTTACATGTTGTCTAGCTGGTATCGCGCATGCGTACGCAGATCGGACAGCCACAGCCAAGCAGTCAATATACAGATCAAATTGTGACGTACACGGAAAACCAGTGTGCGCATGCGTCCGTAGATCGGGCCAGGTCCAGGCATAGATGGGTCCAGGACCGCAGTTCGGCGTGTTACGGGCCATAGATACAAGACATCTGGCAGCCACACCGTGACCACAGGACCCGGGGACAAGTGCATTGTGGGATAGCTAAATCTAATTTTCTCCGATGACTGCTGGGAGTTTGGAGGATTTTGCCATTCCTTTTCCAGTGTCATGGCGACTAACATCGAACAGATATTTCGAGATTTTGTAATGAATAAAATAAGAGAAATTGAAGGCGAAGGTCTGCATACCGGGTAAATATATTTATAGAAGCTGTCTATAGGTGCAGAATTGTTAGCTCATGCTCGTTAAATTGGGGAAACCGATTATCATGACTCTAAGCGTCTTAAACTACTCCTGGTGTCATAAAAGGCCTACCTTTTTTTTTTTTTTTTGTGCTGCTAGCTTTCATATTCTGCAGTTTTGCGTTATTACGTAATGGGTGTAAGGCAGTCTTGTTGGCCAACATGCGACGCGTTCCGAATAGGTTGCATTCATGTGCTTCAATTGCGATTTCGCCTATTATCTAATGCCAAATGATGGTTCCTGTATTTGCAGCCATCTGGCCGTTCTTGCGAGTTTCTCTGCGTATGTTAAAAAACTGTATATTTGCCGGCTGTGTAGTTGTGTCGACTTGTGGGGTTATATATTACTAACACAATGAAGAGCCTACTGGATCGCACTATTGTAACTTTTTATTTTTATTTTTGGAATTGCATTCCACGGTGACTGTAGTCGCGCTGTGCAAAAATAAATTCTCTGCTGGTCTCGTACCGCCCGATCTAGGCACTTGTATAGTTGCTATCTCTTTAATTTCACAGAGATCTACTTTGTTGATCGGGAACTTATACGTATGATTAATCAATTTTAAATGCTTGATTATTAATTTACATATACTTTATTTGTAGCAGGGCTTTGCCATCTTGGAACTGCCTAGAGTCAATTTGTATATTGTATAAAATGACTTCTATCTCCAAGTATCATGTGGTCAAATATTAGCACTTGGGGCATTTCTAGTTTTGGTCTGTTTCATGTGGGCCTCCTACGACGGAGTTTTAGTGCCACTATTAATAAAAATAAAAATATAAACCCTCAAGAATAAAGTCGGATCTCAAGATTAAAGTTGTAATTTGCCAGAATAAAATCATATTAATTTGAGAATAAGGCGAAATTAAAGTCAAAGTTACGAGGAAAAAAAGTCATACCTTTTGAGAATAAAGTCGTAATTTGCTAAAGTCACAATAATTAGAGAATAAAGTCATAAAGTTACGACAAAAAAACCTGTAATGTTTCAAGAATAGTCATTCAAAACTATGCGAAAAGGTTAAGAATCATTTAAGTGGGTTTGAGACCGCGGTTAAGCCTCATGTTCGATATTCAGTTTTCTGGCTTTAATAACTTTTAACGGAAGATGGGGCGTTTTTAATGACAGAATTGTAATGTCCAGTACACAGACAACGATGCACACCGAATATTTTTGCGCTTCAAACCATTTCGTGATTTGTGCACAATTGTGTTATAGCTAACATCATTTCAGCTGTAATGACATGGTGGTTTAGCATTTTGGGCTCGTGGAGACTGTTGCACACCCATTTGTTTCCCAGTTTGCTTTAGATACGAATTTTAATTAATTATCCATTGTCCATATAATGTGCAATGGGACAATACATGAATGGCTTAATAGCTTCAAAACTAGACAAGGCAGGCACATCTAGTGAAGTGCACTTTGATCAGTGGACTACAGGGAACAATGCACACCCCTTGGATTTTCAGGATCTCTCTCTCTCCCCCTCCCTCTGTCTCTCATATAGGGGGAGAGACAGCACCTCAGTTTAAATTTTAGTAATTTTATTCCTAGGGATAGACTGAAGTTGTAGTGCACATTATGTACTTGAAATGGGTAAGACAAGTTCCAGGTATTATTAATAAGTCATCTAAAGGCAACATACTGGATTATGTTTCCATGCATGAATTCCATCAAAGAGGAAAAATCATTACTTTAGCTGTAATATTAATGTTAATGTTTTAAAACAAGAATGGAAAATAATAGGTATTTAACATTTTGTTTTTTAGAATAGATTGGAATGACTGTATTGTCATTGCACATTTTCTTACACAACAAAATTTCAGAACGGTCCCTAGGATGCTCGTATATCTAGTCATTACGACGACAACAAAAAATACACACATTAAAAAAATATTTACTGTGTAAATATAAATAGATGTGCATTGTTTTGGCAAGTTATTGCACTGTAATCATAGTAATTCCGTATTTCATATTTTCATAATATTGCACAGTTGTTTTGTATTGCACAGCTTTCCAAGTATTGCACAGTTATTGAACCAAATGTGTCTTGTTAGTTTTAATCTGACTGGAGTTCAATTCAGTGATGGCTCTGAGGGAAAAAAAAAACTGTTTTTGAGCCTGTTCGTGCGAGTCTTTAGGATCTTGTAATGCTTCCCTGATGGCAGCAGGGAGAAGAGGTAATGGCAAGGTGAGTTGTGTCACTCAGGATGTTGCTGACTCTGCGGAGGCAGCGTGTCTTGAAGATGTCCTCCCGTGAGGGCAGAGGAAGTCCTATGATCTTTTGGGCTGTGTCGATGACACTCTTGCTTGCCTGTCCACTGTTGTGCTGTGGACAGCTCAGCAACCAGGTTGGTCTTCCTGAGTGTTCTTAGGAAGTATAGCTGCTGTTGAGCCTTCTTGACAAGAGCAGTGGAGTTGGTTGTCCATGTGAGGTTGTCAGTGATGTGGCTGCCCAGGAACTTCTAGCTGGAAACCCTTTCCCCTTCCTGTCCTCTGATGTTAAGAGGAGAAAGGTTCTTTTGTCTCCTGAAGTCTAGAATGCTTTTTTTTTTTTTGACAGGTTGGTTGGTTGTGCTCCACTCTACCAGTTTGTAGACTTCATCTCTGAATGCTTTATCATCCCTGCCTGAGATCAGCCCCACCATTCTTTTGTCATTGCACAAATACAATATTAAAATTTGCCAATGTGTGGCGACAGTTGTATGTGTAGTAGGAGTGTAGAAGTTAGGGTGACCACCTAATCCATGTCAGGAGGGACACTATGAGCTACAACAGGATTTGCGAACTACTTTAAAGCTGAAAAGATTCTGTGCTCTGCTAAAATGTTTGGTTAGTT